AAAATTATGTATATATAGAAAAAATGAAAGAGTCTGTCCCAATTTGACATTTAAGTACCAGTAACAAAGGGATAAAAAAAAAGCAAATAAAAAAAGGTGAAAAGGCAAAATAAACTAATGAATATACAAAATAACACTAAACAGAAACTATTACACCATTACCACAAACTATCAGATAAACATCAAGATTTGGAAATAATTTGAACTAAGTGTAGGGGGTGACTATTCATATCTATGCAGTCATCCAAGAAATATTTATTACCCACTTCTTTCTGAGGCATGAGAGAAAATTCCCTAAGGGCCTGTGGGCTACTTCTAGGGCATTTTATAATGATTGATTACATGTGAGACCAGGAATTTGTTTTGCAGTAACAATTTAAAATGTGTATTACCAGGAATTTATTACTCAAGTTTAATGACTTTGATGAGCAGATTATCTTTTAAAATATGCAGTAAAGTCTGGTGTTGTCATTTGAACAGTCCACTGATAGAAATGATTTAAATTTTTCTAGTATTTGAATTATATTGGTTGTATAAGGGAGCACGTTTAAAATATTTTAAAAAGTGATTGAATACCTCTATAGTTGTGTGTCCATTTGTCACTATGTTAGGTTCAGTTATTTCACTAAAGAAGCCTCAATCCTGGTAATTTTTCTAATACAATTATAAAATTTTAGATGAGGTCTGACTTATCCAGAATGAGTGTGTACCATTGTTTGCCTATGTGCACACACCATTCTTGAGATAGAGTAAAATAAAAAGTCATTGTTTTATAAAATCATATTAATAAAACCATCACATTTCTAGAAATTTAATCTAGCATGTCAAATGTATAATTTTTAATTTGTTCTTAAATAGTTAGATGTCTAGTTTTCTTATTCAACTGGGTAACTATACAGCTGTAAGACTACTGACTAAACCAGGGGTGGGCAAACTTTTTGACTCGAGGGCCACAATGGGTTCTTAAACTGGACCGGAGGGCCGGAACAAAAGCATGGATGGAGTGTTTGTGTGAACTAATATAAATTCAAAGTAAACATCATTACATAAAAGGGTACGGTCTTTTTTTTTTTTTAGTTTTATTCATTTCAAATGGGCCGGATCCGGCCCGCGGGCCGGATCCGGCCCGCGGGCCGTAGTTTGCCCACGGCTGGACTAAACCATTCTACTGGTTACTTGAGTTAAGTAATTTTATAATTTTATTTCACGGAGAGACAAGAATTGGTGGATATCCCTGGCTAGTGTGGCTCAGTTGGTTGAATATTGTCCTGTGCACCAAAAGGTCACTGGTTCAATTCCTGGTCAGGACACATGCTTAGGTTATGGGTTCAATCAATCAAGGTTTCTCTCATATATTTGTTTCTATTTTTTTCTCCCTCTCCCTTCTGCTATCTCTAAAACAATGACAACAACAACAAACAATGAATTCATATTTTAAAAAAGAATTGGTATATATTTAGAATAATCTTATATAATAAAAGGCTAATACGCAAATTGACTGAACGGCTGAATGATTGGTCACTATGACATGTACTGACCACCAGGGGGCAGACGCTCAATGCAGGAGCTGCCCCCTGGTGGTCAGTGCGCTCCCATAGGGGGAGCACCGCTCAGCCAGAAGCCCTGAGCTGGGCTCACAGCTAGCGAGTGCAACAGCAGTGACAGGAGCCTCTCATGCCTCCATGGCAGTGCTAAGGATGTCCAACTGACGGCTACCAGACTGCGAGAGGGTGCAGGCCAGGCTGAGGGACCCTGAGTGCATGAATCTCGTGCACCGGGCCTCTAGTATATACATGAAAACACAAGCCAGAACAATTCCTTGGAAGCAAAGATTAATAAATTCATTTGCCAAGGAAGAAATATATCTCACAAAAGGATTAAGGATTCCTGTTCCTATTAGGTAACTGAGCAGTTGGGTAGAACATGATGAAAAAATATTAGAATTAATTCAAATTTACTCGATCCAGGCACACTTGCAGAGTTGATCTATGTTGTAGTCAGCACTTTCAAAAACAACAGCCCTGGGTACACCCCAAAGGGAGCTATGGGGAACCTGTAAATGGATCCAACATTTAGCATCAAGTCCAGATGCGCTGTTCAAGCAAGTGTTGCCTTATGTTGCTGGGACTTGGTAAATAAAAGGAATTCAGCAGAAATGAGATGGAAGTTCCTGATTTTGGGGATGGCTGATAGCTCTGTATTGCACCCAGGCTTCTCCATCTCTGAATTGGAAATGTTTACCTTTCTGGAGTGGGGCATCACCTGTATTTACTCTCTAAAGGCACTGACAGCACTTCAGTGTCCAGGAAGGAGAGAGCATCAACCACCAAGGTGATTGCTTAGTTCTATGTGCGAATGGTCTCAACAGTTGTTAGCTGGCAAAGCTTTTCCTCGAAAGAGTTAACCAGCTTCATTATTCTCTTTGTTCAGGTGGGTCCCAAGCGAGATCTTGCACAGCCGTTAGAAAGGGTGTTTAAGGCATTTTCTGTCAGTGGACAAGTTAACAGTGCAACGGCTCTTTCTTTATCATTGTAATAATCTCTTATCCTTGCTCATGAGTTGGACCAAGTAGGTTCTATTTGTGAGAGCAAGCACCGAAAGGAAAAATTTTAGCTGGCAGAGGGCTTACAGACTGACGGCAATGTAGTCAACCATGTAACAGTTCCAGGAAATATGATGTATTGAGCTCTTACCTGTTCAGATGGCATCTTCTTACCGGGTGAGTTGGATCCCGGTCTTTGAAATTAGAATTGCAATTTTCATGGGAGATATAAGGATCTTATTTAATAATATCTTCCTTTATAAGAAATACCTCTGTATAATACAATGTTTCCTACCTTCAAGTCAACTATGTTTTGTATTAGTATTGGGACACCAGCTTTCTTGAGATAATTGTCTGCATAGTATATCTTTTCTTCAACTTTATGCTTTCAACATCTATCTTTATATTTAACTAGAGCAGTGATTCCCAAAGTGGGCGCTACCACCCCTCGGTGGGCGCTGCAGCGATCCAGGGGGGCGGTGATGGCCACAGGTGCATTTGGGGGCGATGAGTAACTGCTATTAAAATTTAAAAAAAATTAATTTCCAGGGGCTGAGTAATATTTTTTCTGGAAAGGGGGCGGTAGGCCAAATAAGTTTGGGAACCACTGAACTAGAGGCCCGATGCATGAAAATTCGTGCAAGAGTAGGCCTTCCTTCCCCTGGCTGCCAGCACTGGCTTCCCTCCGGCACCTGGGACCCAGGCTGCTTCCTTGGCCGCCCACAGGCACCCGGGACTGGGCTGGCTTCCCTCAGGCCACCCACAGGCACCCAGGACCCAGGCTGCTTCTTTCTGGCCATCTGCAGGCACCCGGGACCAGGCTGGCTTCCCTCCGCCGACCCTGGCTTTGTCAGGAAGGACATCCAGAAGATGTCCATTCTAATTAGCATATTATCCTTTTATTATTATAGATGAGTCCTTAGAAGCAGCAAACACATAAGGTTTTGTTGTTTGCTTTTAACTTAAGTATTTAGTTATTTTGCATTTGATATATTCAGCCTTATATCTGCCACCTTACTTTTTTCCATGGTGAGAGGCCACTATCATTATATTGTTGTTACTTTAAATTTAGTGTTTCTTTATTCTCCAGTTTTAAAAGTTCCTTCTTCACTTTTCCATTGTTTTCCTCTGGTGTTACTATGCGCAGATCTAGAATTTCCATTTCATTTTTCAGATTCTAATACTCTGGCAGAATTATCCAACTTTTCCTGTATTTTATTTTTCCTCTACTTTTCTTGATCATATTAATCATATCTGTCATTGAGTCCTTGTTTGATTATTCCAATAGCATGTTCACTTGTAGATCTCTTTCATTTTATATTTTTACCCTTCGTTTTTTTTGTTGTTATTCACAGGTTCCTGTCTCTTTAAATGATTTTTTTAAATGCCAGATAGTGAAAAAACTTACTGAAATTCTAGAAAATATTATCTTTTTCTAGAGAGGATGCACTTTTTTATCTTTTGGCAGAGAAGAGGCTGATGACATTGATCTAATCGGGGACTGAGCTGAATTGGGGAAGGTTACATTTATGTATGTATGTATGTATGTATGTTTTGTTTTCACTGAGAGATAAGTGACATATAACATTATATTAGCTTCAGGTATATAACATAATGATTCAATATCTGTATATGTTGCAAAATGCCACAATAGTCGAGTTAACATCTGTCTCTATCCATTCACAAAAAATTTCTCTTGCAATGACTTTTAAGATTTACTCTTAGCAATTTTCAAATATGCAATACAGTATTGTTAATGACAGTCACCATGCTTTATATTACATCCCCTTACTTTGTTTATTTTACAACTAGAAGTTTTTACCTTTTGACCCTCTTCACCATTTTGGCCACTCCCAACCCTTGCCTTTATGAACCAGCAATGTATTCTATGAACTTGGTTTGTTTGTTTGTAGATACTCCATATAAGTGATATCATATGGTATTTGTCTTTTTCTGATTTATTTCACTTAGCCTGTCCTCAATGTCCATCCATGTTGTTGCAAATGGCAAGATTGTATTATTTTTTATGTCTGAATAGAATTACATTATATGTATATATATCACCCATCAATGGACAGAGGTAGTTTCCATATCCTGCTATTATAAAGAATGCTGCAATTAACACAGGGGTCCATATATCTTTTTGTGTAGTTATTCTTCAGAAGAATAACCAAAAGTGGAATTGCTGGATCATACGGCTGTTCCAATGTCTAGTAATTACTTTTACGGCTACAGAAATGAAAGTTAAAGTAACATCACTCTGTTTGTGTCAGGTCTGCATATATTCATCATTTAAAAATAGAACAGTATTTGTATTGATGTACATGAAAAAATGAATGAGCTAGTTTTACATATATATTAAACTCAACTTTTTTAAAAGGGAAAAAAGGAAAGACAATCTATTTTATTTAATTCACGACAACTTGAAACTCTGAAAATAGAGACAGTCACACTCAGGTGGACTTGTAAAACAATTTTAATTTTTACTCAAAATATAGGAGATATCATTAGCCCTTATCTTACACTTGGAAAAACAGAGAGCATTGTACAGGAAACAGAAGCTATTAGATTTGAAGCTCAAGTTTCAAAAATATTTAGATAAGACACGTACACTCCAGATACTGTTCCCATTGTCCAACGTTGTCCAACATTAATTTTTATATGCCTCCTTACTTTATAACATAAATATCACTTATTAGGATCACTGTTTAGTTTGGATTTTTTTTCTAAAATACCAAAAGGCTCCCCAGCAGTGCCCATCTATTTTATAAACTGACCCGCAGTTTTCTCTTCTTTAAAAAAATTCCAATCTATTTGGATTAAAAGAATAAATATCATATATCCAGGGCAAACAATTTTATCCCCACCAAATATAAGTGTTTTACAGTGAAGAAACTCAGAGCATTTGGCAGCATACTACTGTACTGTGATCAGACCGACCAAAGTATGGTCCTTTGTATACAAATTCTGATCAAGATACTCAAAAAGTAGAGGGGAGTAAAAAGGAATGCTAGGGATAAAGCAGCCATACATAAAATAAGTTTTCATGGAAACTTGCCAGATCTGATAGAATTCTAAAGACACTGCTGAAAAGTGCTGCCCCTTCCATGAGCTATAATTAGTACTATAAGCCCTGGGGGAACCATGGACTCAGTAGCTGATCCGAAGTGGATGTCAAGATAGATAGGGCTTTGTTCCCCTACCTCCCACTGCAAAATGGCCGCATGCTGCATACTTCCAGTTAATTCTGACAGTGCAGAGAACCATGTTACAACCTTACTTAAAGGTAACAAGAAGGGGGCGTACACAGTAAAACAATAACAAAAAAACCACAATAACAAAACGCTGCAATGATGAATTGTGTTCGTACCAAAACCATGGCGAGGAACTCTTGATGACCAAGACCACGTTCCTGGACACAGCAACAGTGCAATTGGCGTCCACGCCGGGCCCTGTGCACACGCCTCCCGGGCAGTGTAAGTCTCCTCTCAGCAGCCACCCACAGAGACCTGCAGTGTAGTGAGCGTCGACTGTGGCTGGTCCGCTCACACCCCAACGAAGCGTGGCCAGTGCCATTAGGCATGTTTGTTGGCTGAGTCAGGCTCTTGGGAAAAACTCAGTCACTAGACATTTTTCTTCACAAGCTATTTCTCAAAAGTGAACTGGAATACATCCTAACCTCCTCAGTTTTTAGGGTGTTTGTTAACTTCTGGCCTCTTTTTAAAACCCCGGTGTTGTGTGACAGGCAGCCCCTAAAATAAACCCTCCCTATTTTCAACTTACTTCCCTTTCTTTTCCCTAAGGTAGACCCTCTGTAAACCTAAAAACATGTGCTAACTTAATATACAGGGTTCCTCAAAGTGCAAAATGTGTTACACATAGTTTCATAGGCTTCGTTTAAACAGCATTTTATACAATACAGTACAGTGGGATCTTTGTGCTCATAAATTACACCACTTAAAAGACACCGACTTCAAAAGGCTGGCCACTCAAAGTAACCCAAGGACTTTTTACACACGGTTAATACAGGTGCGCTGTACAAGCTTTGTTCAGACCAAAATAAAGTTAAATCTTACATTTATCACATATATACATATATATTCCCAAATGCTCTTCAAATGAGTACATACAGCTAGACAAATGTTACAAACCATTATAGTTTGCTTTCTGATTTGTACACAAACATTGTATGCAATGTTCTTTTTTAAAAAAAATCTGCAAGTCATTTTATTTCTTTCTGCAAGATCTGCTCGCCCTGTAACTCTTTCGGAAGGGTTCTTGACCGTTGTAGGACCACGCTGAGTTCTCTGATGACCTGGGACGGCAACTTATTATCAGCGTCCAGAGTGGCTCTGCCGTTCCTGTCCTCAGCCTTCCCCAGGGTCTTTGATGAGCCTTTAGGGCCTTTCTGCTGCCCATGAAAGGCCTCGGTCTCGGCCTCTGTGTCCTCCAGACAGTAGAGGCTGCGATGCTTCCGGGCTCGATGCCGCAGTTTATCGTCCCTGTGCTCCAGGCAGTGGGCCACCATGGAGGCTCTGTCCTTCAGCGTGCTGTCCCCAGGCTCCTGGTCGCGCTTCTCATGGAGCCGCAGCTTCTCCAGCTCCCCTCTGGCGCTCTAGGGTAAAAGGAAACACCGCGTGGGAAAGCCGGACTTGGCAATTTACATTTGAAAAATGCATTCCACATAAAAGCTGATGCTTCTTATATTCCGGCTTATTTCTAGGATTTAGGTTCTAATTTTGACACAAGTGGCTTCCCTAAATTTAAATACTGATCCGAGAGCTACAATGTGGACTAAAATGAAGACCATGGAAATTCATTTGAACGTGCATTTAGCGCAGAACTCCAAAGATGCCTTTCAGGGTAGTTATTTAAATCGAGTGTCTTTTCCAACTTGCCTCTTCCGATTCCCTTTTGCTTGGATGTGACACATGTCCGTGTATCTGTAGTTATACTCACAGAGAAAAGGAAGTCGCTGTGGCCCCTGAGTTTGGGGAAATGCTGTTTGTACCACAGCCTCTCTTCAAGATAACAGCATATTAAAGACGCTGAGGAGTATTATGACAGAGAAATCTGTTTAACTTCTTTCTGTGTGTGTTTTTTTTAATTTCCTCCCAAAATATTTAGTAAAATCTTTCCTCCCACATAATATTAGAATTCCACAGAAATATTTTTAAAAACACCAGTAGATTAGAGTACATGTTCATTCAGTAAACTGTAAGGACCTACAGGCATGGAAATTCACTGTCACAATACCTGCGATGGTATAGAGGTACACTTTCCTTTTAATTTTTCCCCTCAATTACGGTTTCAGGTGCACAACATAGTGATTAGACATTTATATACCTTATGAAGTGATCACCCCGGTAAGTCTAGTGCCCACCTGGCACCTTACCGTTATTATAATAGAGTTGAGTATATTTCCTATGCTGTGCTTTACATCCGTGACTGCTTTTATCAACTGGCAACTTAATACTCCTAATCCCTTCTTCTTTACCCATCTTCCCAGCCCCCTTCCTGTCTGGCAATCATCAGTTTCTTCTCTGTATCTATGAGTTTGTTTCTGTTTTGTTTGTTCATTTATTTTGTGAGGTTTCTTTTAGAGTCCACATGTAAGTGACATCATATGGTATTTGTCTTTCTCTATCTGACTTATTTCCCTTAGCATACCCTCCAAGCCCATCCATGTTGTACCAAGTAAGATCTCATTTTTTTATGGCTGAGTAATAGTGTTCAATACTAATGAGATAAGTGTTCCATTATATTTATGTACTGCATCTTGTTTATCCTTTTGTCTGTTGATGAACACACAAGTTGCTTCAATATCTTGGCTATTGTAAATAACGCTGCAATACAGGGATTATATATATTTCAAATTAGTGTTTTGGATTTCTTCAGATAAATGCCCAGAAGTGAATCATTGGCTCATAGGTAGCTCTATTTTTAATGTTTTTGAGAAGCCTCTGTACTGTTTTCCATAGTGGCTGCACCAATTTACAATCCCACCAACAGTGCACAAGGGTTCCCTTTTCTCCACAACCTCGCCAACACTTGCTGACTTATTGATGACAGCCATTCTGGCAGGTGTGAGATGTTATCTCATGATTTTAATTTGCATTTCCCTGATGATTAGTGATGTTTAGCATGTTTTCATATGTCTATTAGCCTTCTGTATGTTTTCTTTGCAGAAATATCTATACAGGTTCTATGACCATTTTTTATTTTTTAAGTATTTATTTTTTTCAATGTTTTTAATTTTTTTTTTTTTAGAGAGATAGAAAGGGAGAGGGATAGAGAGATAGAAACACAGATGAGAAACACCATTGATTGGCTACCTCTGCACGCCCCCTACTGGGGATCGAGCCCCCACAACCCGGGCATGTGCCGGGACCAGGAATCAAACCATGACCTCTTGGTTCGTGGGTAGATGCTCAGCCACTGAGGAACAGCAGCGGGCCCTATGCCCATTTTTTAATTGGATTGTTTTTTGGTGTTAAATTGTATGAGTTTGGACAATAATCCCTTATTGGATGTAACACTGGCAAATATCGTCTATTCAGTAGGTTGTTTCATTCATTTTGTTTGTTTCCTTCGCTGTGAAAAACCTTTTTAGTTTGATGTAGTCCCATTTGTTTATTTTTTTCTTTCATTTCCCTTGCCCAAGGAGATATTTAAAAAATATATATATTACTAAGAGCAATGTCAGAGTTAACTGCTTATGTTTTGGGTTTTTTTCTAGGAGGTTTATAGTTCATAGGAAAAAAATTTAATTTTCACTAATTTTGTTTTAATGCTTTTTAAACTTTCAACTTTCACCCAACGTTGGAATATTTTTAAGCACTCTTTGCCTATACGGTGAATCACCAAATCACCGCACTTAAATTTACAAAAAAATCTTGGGTTTAACTACTCATTAATTTTTCTATTAATATTTCATGGAGTTGTTTTAAAAGCCTTCAACAATATCTTCAGTGTTTTAGTTCAGCTCCCTGGTCTTAAGTATGCTAAAAACATTGTCTCTGAAATTTTGCATTTTGTATTAGATAACAATTATATATTCAATTATCATCCCAATTCTTAACTGGTACTGATTAATGTATTTTAATACCAATACTATAGCTTTTGCTTTGGGCTATAATTGATCCTAAGACAATGTCAGGACAAACTGGGGTCACTATAGGGCATACCCACTCCCTATGTTGGCTTCACTTGTTCAACCTGTCTCTCCCAACCTTGGTTTCTGGGAAATGCAGCCCTTGGAATTTTAAGCTTCTAGATTAGCTAAGGAATCCATAGTTTTGTAGGGCAGTTTATTACCCAGAATGGCAGGAGAAACAAGCTCATGATTTCTTGGAAGATTATTCTTCTCTTTGATTACATTAGTGCAGAAGGACCAAGTAGGCAACAAAGGTAATAAACCAATGTTTCCAAAGCTTTTATCTTTTTAGAGAAGAGGAATATTCTAATGAGATAAGTGTTCAAAGAGAGATAGGCATGGACAAATATTTCTTAAAATCTGATCAGTAAGTTAAAATGGCTTTAGTCTTTCAAAAGGTATTTCTGTTTGGAAAGCAAGAAATTCAAACAGCTTAATTCCAAACCCAGCCTCGAAGAAGAAGGACATCTTTTACATGCATTTCTTTCTGCTCTGAGAGACTCAATGGAGGCACTGAAATGTGCATTAGCCCCAGAGCAGGGCGTTTTGAGTGTAAACAGCCTCCACTCTTTCCTGAAGAGCCTGCACTTCAAGCTCAGGTTGATGCCACTTCTGCTCTCCCTGCCCTCAAGGTGAGAAGGGGAACAAATCGCAGCTTTCAGGAAAAAAAATGCCAAATCTTTTTTGATGCTCAGAGATTATCTTGCAGCTCCTTAAATTAACTGGGACACCCCATCGGTTCCCAAACCACTGCTTGAATATGTCACTAGGAAGTCTAGTGACCAGGGCTTCAGCAGACATCTGCTGCTATGGGCTCATTCTCAGATTGTTAGAAGTAAACCTGTAAGACTAATTTGAGACTGTGATTTGACCACCAGAGCTTCTGTACACGTATTTAAAATGGCTCGGCTAATTTAGGGATAAGCAAACAGGTGGTACTGTGCATATTTAACAGTCAATGGCATCATTACACTAATCATTTCAAAGAAGTTAAAAAAAAAAACACAAAACTTCTAAAACATGCCATAGAATTTCTCATGTTTTCTTGACGGGTGTGATTTTTCTTATGCTTTTCAAAGATATTATTCCTGATTTTTTGAAGCCAATGAATTAATGAGTGCACTCAATCACAGTAAGACCGAAGAAAACAAATGCTAGAATTAACATAAACGAAATAAAATCCTGACCTACCTCGATATTTCTCCAGGCTTGGGTGGCATTTTTCTCCTGCTGGATGGGAATGAGAGGCAAACCTCCGATTTTGGGGTTTTTGGTTATAGAGCGTTTCCGTTGCTTTCCAGCGGGTGGCCGTATATCATTTTCATGCTGTGGAAACACAATTTCTTGCCGTTGGTGTGTGACGTTATTCTGGGGTGTACACCCTGTTACAGAGCCACTTGGCTCGCTTTTCACACACACACATCCAGTGACCTGCTTCCTATGAGAACGCCATCGCTGCATCGCCGGAGGACGTAAAACTCTTAAGTGAACTGAGCTTTGAGGTCTCAGTTCAATATCTAAGTCTCAAATACATGCGTTCGGTACTACTTACCAAACCAAAAGGGGTGAAATATTCTTTTTTTTAAATAAAATTTTAAAATATATTTTATTCATTTTTTACAGAGAGGAAGGGAGAGGGATAGAGAGTTAGAAACATCGATGAGAGAGAAACATCGATCAGCTGCCTCCTGCACGCCCCCTACTGGGGATGTGCCCGCAACCAAGGTACATGCCCTCGACCAGAATCGAACATGGGACCCTTCAGTCCGCAGGCCGACGCTCTATCCACTGAACCAAACCGGTCAGGGCAAGGGGTGAAATATTTTAAAAACTGGCACATCTATTCGTGGGAGAAAAAGAATATACTTGTCTACACTTCTCGGCCCTGTAATCAACGTAACTATGTGTTCACGTTTGTTCTCTCCGCCAGAGGACTTCAGTGTAAACATAATAAATTCACCTTATGTAGCCCAAGTCTACCTTAGGCACGTCACCAGAAAAATTAGCCTTAATGTATGACCTTTTTAAAATGTTACTTTTTCATCTAATCGAGTTCCAGAGAAATGTTACCTTGTACACAGACATTTATACTGAAAATCATTGTACAACAGAGAGTGTGGCACATTTGTTCTCAAATTATTGACTACATATTCTTGCCACCGAGCAGTTGTAGATATGACTGGGAAAAAGTTAATTTTGCAACTGGGAAAAATATCCACAGGTAAAAAATAGAAGCTCTTGACTGATAAATCCTTGAGATATGCAGATAAAAGAAAAATCTTTAAAGATTTTTCCACTCCTCAGGGTAGATTCACTTGTCAGATGTTGGGAAAAGCAAATTGATTTTCAGACAACAATCTATGAAAGAAATACAGAACACCAACTATAAAATGAGCAGCTTACAGATGTTACGGTGAAATGAAAAACATTTGGTAAGCTATATAGCTGAATGCCTACTCTTATTTTCCACTACTCTTAAGACTCAACAGAGTCTTGTTCTTATGTTGCAATTAGTATTTTAATGTAGGGTATTATAGCACCGAATTCATTTCAACAAAGGCTGACTGCATACCCATTATAGAATAGCTGATTTATATTGAGGGGCATACTGCTAGACTTTGGGCTTATCGATATACATGTATTATCGCCTTTCATCCTCAGTGATCCTACAGTGTAGGTCCTACTTATTACCAGACTTAGTGTATATGCATAAGGTCTGTTCTTGAATTTTAAGGAAGTATTTACCTTGGTTCAACAAACCAAACACTGTAGATGTCTGCAATATTTTAATCAGAGGGAAAGTGACAAGCTTCATAACATTTCTATGCCATGGTCCCACACTTGATAAAATAATTTTGATGTTATATACGTGGGATGTTCCCAACGTGTAAAGCTGGGAGAAAACTGGCTGGGAAGGAAGTAGGCAATCCTATGAGTTATGCTTACGCTTTTACTCACTGGTGTATAGTGCATGCATTAAATGACATTCTGAGGAACCTAAGAGCAAATGCAGTTTTCAAACACCATTTCTTTTACTGACATTATAAACAATGCTCTGGATACTGCCTCATTAGGTCTCACTGAATGACCCAAGAGGTATTTTCCCCAACAGCAGAAATCATTAGATCTAAGCAATATGTTCTGATACTTCCAGTTATGTATAAGTGACTTCCAATGTTCTCCCGCATAGACCATATAGCTGAGATCATACTTCCATTATTATAACCAATGATCACATCCCCAAATCTTCATTTGTCTCCCACTTTCTAGTTTCTTTCCCCACAGCTTTACGGAGGTATAACTGACAAATAAAATTGTAAAATATTTTAAGGTATACATGATGATCTGATATAAACATGTGTTGTGAAAGAATTCCCCCCCACTGAGTTAATTAATACATCCATCACCTCACATATTTACTGTGTGTGTGTGTGTGTGTAAGAAAATTTAAGTTCTACTCTCTAAGCAAATGTTAATTATACAATACTGTGTTATCAACTTCTGTCACCATGTTATATATTAAATCATCAGGCCTTATTCATTTTATAACTACAAATTTTTTATCCTTTGACCAACCTCTCTACCCGCCTCCCTTCACTCCAGCAACCACTTTTCCACTCTCTGTTTTTGAGTTTGAGTTGTGTGGTGTTTTTTAAGATTCCACATGTAAGTGATACCATGCAGTATTTGTCTTTCTCAGTCTGGCTTATTTCGCTTGGCATGAAGCCCTCCAGGTTAATCCATGTTGTTGCACAGGATGGTATTTCTCTTTTTAAAAAAAGTTGAATAATATTCCATTGTGCATGTACACCACATTTTCTTGACCCACTCATCCATCTGCCAACAGACACTTCGGCTGTTTCCACACCTTGGCTAGGGTGATGATGCTGCAGTGAACACCGGGTTTGCCTCTCACTTCTGATCTTGACCTCGTATCTTTCCAGCTCACTTCATTTAGTTTCATTCACTAGAAGCATTCTTAGGCTCCTTAAGACCTTCAATCCATTCCACTTTGCTCATTTTCCCCACTTCCTTCACAGCCTGGCCTCAGTTTCATGGCCAAAGAGTATACTCACCTCCTTAACAACTCCTTCAAGTCCTGTGCTCTTTCTCTCCCCCTCACATGTGCGTGGCTAAGCCCTGAACCTAAACCCAATTCTATGGGTACCTATGGACTGATGAAGGAAAATAAATTAGATCACTCTGGAGATGCATCTCATCTTAAATTAAGTTTAAATTTCAAGTGAGCACGCAGCATTACCTGACTACCGTGCAACTGGTTTTCTCCCTCTCTGAAGAAATCTCATCTTTTACTCTTCCCCGCACTTCTAATATACCCCAGTGGAGTGACCATGCTGATTTAATTTTTAAGATTATTAATAATCATTCAAGATGTTCATTTTCCCCATCATGAAATGTACCAATCTCCTCTGTGTTCACAGCCATGTAAGCGAGGCTCCCTTCTCTTCAATCAGTACTGCTCTGCTTAAATAACTTTTCTCCAGTCATATCTATAATTGCTCAGTGGCCAGAATACATAGTCAGGAATTTGAGGACAAATGTGCCACACTGTGCTGCTGCTGATTTTTCCAGCAATGATGAACCAATGGGCACTTACATTGCTTCACATCTGCCCAGGGCCTCTGCTGGTTTAATCATCACCCTCTTCCTAAAAAAATTAGCTTTTCTTCCAATTACTGGATTGTCTGCATCAGCATAGAGGCAAAGTATACACTCTCCCATTTTAAAGACAAATCAATAGCCCCAAACCTACCTCGACTCCTTGTTTCTATCTAGTCACAGCCTCATTTATCTACATGGCAAATTCCTTGATAGAATATTCTGTAGCAATCACCTACATGTTCCTCCTTCCTCAACCCTTCTCATTTCTTTTGCTGTTTTTTTTTTTAATATACTAGGCCTTTAAATTTAGAATGTTCCAGGGCTTGTCTGCCATCTCTTTCTCTCTCCCATACAACCCCCTCTCTCATTCTCTCTCTCAGATCTCACCCAAACTCATGGTTTTCAATACAATCTAAATACTGACTTGCCCAAAATTTACATTTCAGCCCCAACCTTTTGCCTGAGTTTTTCATCCTTATATCCAACCTGCTACCCAGCATACCCATGTGTATGTCTAAAAGGTATCTCAAATTCCATGTGGCTGGAAAAGAACTCTCCCTTTCCCCCCTTTGTCTCTGATAATGTCACTTACATCTGCCTGTTGCCCAAGGCCAAAAAACTAAGATTCTAATCCTCTCAAACTAGTATAGCCAATTAATGTGAAAGCCTTATTGGCTCTGCCTTCCAGTATTCTTGAATCTGAATGTTTTAGCAGATCCACCCTAGTCGGAGCTGCCATCCTCACCCACACAGGCATTCCTCCTGCTTCCATCTCTCACTCTTGAGAGTATGGCTTCAACCAACGCTATTTTTTCAATTAATGTAAATTGGTTATCTTTTCCTTATTTCCCTCTCAAACTCTCAAAGGGGACTACATGATCTGTTCTCTGTCTTCCTCCTCTCTTACCACCTGTCTCTCATAGGCCTTTGTGATGGTCCTAGAATAAGCCAAGATTATGACATCTAGGGATCTTGCTGGTCCCCATCCCTGGCATGTTCCCCTGCTACTACATACTTGTACACCTCATTTGAGACACATAGCGTCAGTCATACAATCCCCAAACTTGCTGACACATCTGTCAGTTCATTCAAAAAACTCTTCCCTGAGAACCCTTCTCAGTTAATACCCTTCCTTACCTCAGTCACACTGGCTTTCCTTCCCCTCGATTATTTTATTTATTCATTATTTTATTTTATCACACTAATATCTATTTTAAATTTGATCTGATTATTTATTTTCTCTTTTTCCTATCTTACAAATACTAACTGAACATGTACTTTGTAAAAGACACTGGGTTCTGTGACACAGATATACATAATAAAGAGTCCTTTTCCGAAGAGGACATACAGATGGCCAATAGACACATGAAAAGATGTTCAATGTCACTAACTGTCAGAGAAATAAAACAACAAGATATCACCTGTCTGTATGGCTATCAGCAATAAATCAATAAACAAGTATTGGCAAGCATGTGGAGAAAAGGGAACTCTCATGCACTGTTGGTGGGAATGCAGACTGGTGCAGGCACTGTGGAAGACAGTATGGAAGTTCTTCAAAAAATTAAAAATAGAATTCCTTATGACTCAGAGATTCTACTTCTGTGAATATATCCGAAGAATCCCAAAATACTAACTTGAAAGAAACATATGCACTCCTATGTCCATTACAATAGCCAAGATCTAGAAGCAATCCAAGTACCCATCCATAGAGGAGTGGATAAAAATGTGGTGGTACATTTACACAATAGAATATTATTCAGTCATAAAGGAAGAATGAAATCTTACCAAAAAGCATGGAAAGACCTAGAGGGTATTATGCTAAGTGAAGTAAGTCAGAGAAACATTTCACATATAGGTGAAATGCCATATCATTTCACCTATATGTGGAAGCTAAAGAATAAAGTAAACAAAATTGAAAGGCTCAAAAGACAGAGTGAACTGGTGGTTGCCAAGGGGAGGTGGGTTGGGGGACTGTGTGAAGAAGGTTGAAGGGATTAAAAAGTTATACAATAGTCACAGGAATATAAACATCAGCATAGGGAATATAGTCAATAACGTTATAATAACTATGTATGGTGCCAGGGGTTACTTGAAATATTGGGAGGAATCGCTTTAAAATATATGACTGTCTAACCACTATGCTGTACACCTGAGACTAAAACAAAATAATAAATGTAAGCTGTAACTGAAAAGTAAAATTAGAAAAAAAAGATTGACAGAGTCCTTCCTCTCATGAAATTTACATTTTAGTAGGAAAGACAGAAATGGAAAATCTAAATGCACAAATGTTTTGTACTTAGTGCTACCTCGGAGTGCAGGAGTGAAGTGTTCCCATAGGAAGGTCTAAATGGAGAATGAGAAAGCTTCTGAGAATGTGACATGTAGGCTGAAATCTGAGGCAGGGGTGAGGATGGAGATGGATATCAGAAAAGGATTCTGGGCACTGGAAGGACTCACTGTAAGGGAGGGACACTTACTATTATTATGTGTGTGTGTATTTTTAACATCTGCTACATTCTTGTCTGTTTCTCTATGGAGGTGACCCATTAAACCCTTAAATCCCAAAGGAGCTTTGTGTTGACATTAATCCTGAAATGTGGAATGGACAAAGGAAGGTAGTTGGGCTGAGACCACACAGGATAGGCGAGGTGGGGGAAAATAACTTTGCTGTGAGAGCAGCACCTGCTTCCTGGCTGTCTATACTTTGATTTTCAAACTACAGAATGGACTGACTTCAATTATAAAAACAAAAAAAACAAAAAATCAATTTAGTTGCACCACAAAGACACAGCGTAACAGTTTTCGACTCTATAGTTCCAATTTTAGTAAAATACTTCAAATCCAGTTTTTTAAAGTAGGACTTGAATATCTGAATTATTAAAAAGTCCCGCAAAAAGAAGAAAAGTCTCTAAAAAAAGTTAGCAACCAGTCTTTTTCTGCAAATGTATTCCCAGGTAGTAATAGCGTCAGGCTGAGAACAGTATTTATTAACCACCGGAGAGGATAATAAATTAAAGGAACAGAGAAAATGACCAGATTTGGGGGGTGAATTAACTTAACTTGTAAGAGAAATGGGGAAGTACATCCTCAGTAATAAAGAGTGGCAACTTAATCGTGACCGTGAATTTCAATGCTCTTGTGCGAAGCAATGCTGGAATTCAGCCAGACAGGGCTGGGGGGATGGAGGGGGGAAACCAATTCTACTAATGGGACTACTGAAACCTTCCCCTCAAAAGTGAGCCCTCCTCCAGGAAGGAGACTGAATGGGGAATGGAGTGTATGTGTTTGTCTCTGGGTTTCAACCACTAACTAAATATATGGTCCTAAGCAAAGGATGGAACCTTTGTTCATCTCTATTTCCTCGTTGTTAAGAATCACCATGCATAGTTTGTTGCAAGGTACACAAGCATTAACTCTTTTTGAAGTTTCTAGAAAATAACAAGTATAAAGAAATGTAGGTTCCTGTCCTTATCTGTGGATAGGCAGGGTGGGGAGAGTAGGATCATGTGAGGCTCTGCTAGGGTGGCAGCTTCCACAAGGCCCTCTTTCTTATCCTGTCATCTTGAAGCAACACACCTCCCCTAGGCTGCAGAGCTGCTGGGCTGGCAAAAAGCCTCTATGAAGAGAGTAAACTCTCTTTCAAAGAGTAAGGGATAAATCCGGATGCTTATGTATTAAAAATATATACATGAGTAAATAAAAGAATATGCGTAAAACTCAAACATTAATCGAAAACCACCGCCATTTCCCATACACCATCATTACACTTTCCTGAACAACTGGAAACAGGTATCTTACCTGGGCAAGGAAGACACTGGCCATCCACTCCATCTGAGTTTGTAAACTGTCACAACACAGGTGCCTGCAAAGCAAGAGGTATGACTATATAGATAAAAAAGTCTATTCTCCAGTGTATTTGGTAAGTAAGTGATCAGAAACCCCTTTGGTTTCTCTGACTGATGGCTTAATGCACTCAAAATGGGAGTATTTCAGTACAGGTTGCTTAGTGTACGATGTCAGGATAATAGTGTACATATGCTATTTTAAACAAAATATAGCTAAGGTTTTGATAATTGCTGAACAATGATCAGCAATATTTTTGGAAAGGTCAACCTCATTTGCTTTTTCAGGTGCAAGACTTGGTAAAACACCTTTTCCCCTAGAAACTCCCAGTTTAAGAAGAAAAATGTGTGCATATTTTCTTAACAGCAGATTTTTAAAAAGGCTTAGACAGTCTCCATCATTATGATTATAAACATTAATACCTACAAGACTCGTGAAAAAGAAGCTAAATGAAAAAACTACTGCCCGTCCAATAACACCTTTTATTGAAAACCTATATATACAGAGCGCTTGCCCTCAAGATTCACACAGTCCATTAGGGGAGCCGGGAATGCAAACAAATAAATTAAAACAGTGAGAGAAGCGCAAAGTTGAACACGAACATAGAAACAGCACACTTGGGGATGAGATGGAGGTTGTTTCCTATAAGAGGAAAATGTTGTGACTGATGGCAAAATGAGAAAATGGGCATTCGATGCCACCATAGTTTTTATATCCCTGTATAATAAAATTAATTTTTAAAAATGTTAACATTTCTGAAATATTCTTCATTGAAAGATTATCATAGAGACACTGTCCTTTTCCATTTATCATATCCAAGAGAACCTTTCTCAAGGTTTTAATTACAGATCATTTTAATTACACATCACTGTGTACAAAATACTGTAGATACAAAGAAGACATAAAGATTAAAGGTGAGAGCTACAGGACTTTGGGGCACCTGAGTTATGGCTTGAATGAAGGACAGCGGAGTGTGCCAGGCGGGCAGGGAGAGGACAGTGATGAGGAAGAGGCAGCACATCGTACGGATGAAGGCTCAATAAGGAGACCACATCTATTAAACATGGAGATGTGACACAGCAAGGCATGGGCGGTGAATTCAAGACATAACTGTTTTATCATTAAGCAAAAAGGGAAAGTCATGGGCAATGAAGCTGATGGAGCAAATATTTAAGGGCCTTGCATGCCAGGGCAACCCTTCTGTGCTTTATCCTGTAAGGTGACAGGATTCACAGGAGAGTTTTAAAGCAGGAAAGTAACGTGATACATTTTAGAAAGTCTCTTTGGGGCCCGGTGGAGAATGTCCTAGAGACAGAGGCAAGGTCAGAAGCAGGAAGAGCGCTTCGAACCTCTGGACTAATCCTGGCAGGTGAATGAAGGCAGGGCCCTAGGATATGGGGTGTGGTGGATCAGAGACAGTGAAGAAGCAGTCTGGTATGGCTTGGATTCATCAGACGCAGGAAGGTGAGAGAGAAGGAGACATCTTGTATAACCTTTCGGGAGGTGGCTCGATCCGATGACATCAGTGGAATCAAGTACAAATACATAACAAACAGGTTTGAAACCAAGATTTTCCTTTCTAGCTGAGTTTGAGCTAGTTCTTATCCCTTACTTAAAACTGAATGTTGCCTGCTTATCCCATAAGAGCCAGGATCCCACACTCAATAGGAACCAGGAAGAAATCAGATATAGCTGCTCTTAAGAGGCACTGGCAATTAGGATACGTGGGACAGGGATGGACCTAAACTCTGAAAGCAAATATAGTTTCCTCTTCCTAGACTCTGTTTAGTAAAGATTTCACCTTCCCTTAGGTGAAAGACTTCCTGTCTACAGATCTATCTGCCAAGTCACAACATTATCCATTTACTGAAGTTATATCGATACACCAGATCCCCAAACTGCCAGCTGGAACTTACCACTGATGTTTTTCAGAATACGCTGTCAATCCCCAACTGCGCCACATGGGGAAAAAACACAAACATATTCAAAATGACAAACTTTACCAGGAAACAGGATGGGGTGCTAAGGAGGTGACACTTAATGGTGGAAAGGCATAACAGAATTGGCACCTACAGTGAAGATTCCACCGGTGTGATTTATCTGGACATAAATGGTAACTGTTGAGGGACTTGGCTACACATTTTTTAAAAATTTCTTTATTGATTAAGTTATTACATATGTGTCCTTATCCCCACATTACCCCACATCCCCCCGACTCATGCCTTCACCCCCCTGTTGTCTGTGCCCATTGGTTAGGCCTATATGATTGCATATAAGTCCTTTGGTTGATCTCTCCCCCTTACCCCACCCTCCCCTACCTTCCCTCTGAGGTTTGACTGAGTGATCGATGCTTCTGTCTCTAGATCTGTTTTTGTTTATCAGTTTATGTTGTTCATTATATTGGCTACACATTTAAATATGCGGAGGGAGATGGAGGGAAGGAGCCTCGTGATGTCATGGGGCAGTGGGGGAAATCTCTCAGAAGATAGCCTTGGCTGAGTAAAAGCGGATGTCTAGAAAAATGGCCAAAATAAGATAATATTCATACTGACCTGCTGATAGTGTGAGAATTTGAAAAATATGCCAATTGCAACACAGGTAATTGTGTTGAGCTTATAAATTAAGCATGGAGGCAAAAGTGAGAATGTTTTCAGACTCACAAACCATAGACAGTTCATTAAAATGAAGTTTCATGAGATTAGGTGTATAAGTAGAAACATTAATTAGCTAAGTCAAAGTAACTTCTGATAAGAAAGTACAGTATGGCCCCAGCCAGGTGGCTCAGTTGGTTGGAGCGTCGTCCCTTACACCAAAAAAAAGGCTGCAGTACAATTCCCAATCACGTCACATATGTAGGTTGTGGGTTCGATCCTGGGTAGGGGCATGTGCAGGAGGCAACCGATGGATTTTTCTCTCTCACATCAATGTTCCTCTCTCTCTGTCCCCTTTCCTAAAATCACTGAACATATCCTCAGGTGAGGATTAAAAGAAAGTAAGCACAGTGTAAACCGAATGCTGGGTTGATTCAAGTGCTAAGAGGAACAGAATGTTTAGGAGGGGTCCATCCACGTGCTGTGGATTTACTACCAAATTTGGCAAAGCAAAAAGGGAAATTAGAGAGCCAGGCTGAGGGCAGCTGTCTGTCTTCCTGTGGGCAGACTTGCCTGGAACATTCCTTGTGTCCCCCAGGCTTTGACTGAGCAAGGGGTAGGATGAGGGCAAACCCAGGTGTTTCCCAGCAGACAGGGCTCCTGGGATTTCTTGTTCTACAAAGGGGACACACACTCATCCAGGAGGAGCCTTTAGGGAAACGGGCTCCCTCCTTAGCTACAAACACACGTTCTCTGGATCTGGCATCTTAAGAAACTTGTCTAAAGCACAGTTTATAAAGTTAGACCAATGCCTCCGATCCTAATTCCTTGAACAGACATACATTCCCATAACTTTTTCAGCCACCCTTCCCTTTCAAGCTTTACCTTGTTGGAGGTTTCACTCTCTTTCTCACTCCAAGATAAAACTTCATTGAACTGAGAGGAAACATTTTGTCATGTTTGCTACTCTGTAAGGAAAACAAAATAGTATGTAATTGAACAGACTTTACAAATATCCTTGCTATTTGCCTTGAATGTTGATTTGGTTTAGAATTGCTTAGTTTCTCCAATGCTTTATGAATGTAATACCAGCTCTTAGTAAATGAAGATTGTTTTGATTATAATGTTGTAAATTTAAATAGATAAGTTTGGATATATATGTCTGTTTATATATGTATATTTAAACACACACATAATAATCTCTTATTCAAAACTGCTGGAACCAGATGTATATCAGAATTGATAATTTTTCATTTTTTCATATTTTAAAAATACAATACAAATATAACTCCACCACACTACAAGTGTTGCTTGGGGCAGCACCCTTTTTTCATATATATTCATATTTCCACATTAAAATGCATGATATTTCATGTAGTGTGAGATAAATAAAGGCTATTCAGGGGTGGGCAAACTTTTTGACTCGAGGGCCACAATGGGTTCTTAAACTGGACCGGAGGGCCGGAACAAAAGCATGGATGGAGTGTTTGTGTGAACTAATATAAATTCAAAGTAAACATCATTACATAAAAGGGTACGGTCTTTTTTTTTTTTAGTTTTATTCATTTCAAAAGGGCCGGATCCGGTCCGCGGGCCGTAGTTTGCCCACCACTAAGAGGAATCCTCAGCTTACTCTGCATTTTATTTTATTTCCTACAGGCCTTGACTTCCACGAGAGAGGGCTGAGAAAGGTATAAGAATGTAAATACCCACACAGAAACGTGTACATAGTCAAATACCACATACGCAAATACCTTCAGGTCCTTGTAAAGAATCAGATATCCATCTCGTAAAACACAGTGCCGGTCTTGAAATTTATTTCCAGACAGTATTTTAGATGGTTCTTCTTTGATTTTCAGGGCTCCCTCTTTGATACTTTCCAGGGCATTTCTCTCTGTAAAGTACGTTGTTTTTGTAAGTGAGGTACATTTTCATTTATTTGGAACAGAATATAAAACTTTTCTATACTTTCAGTTTTGATATTATAAATAACTTATTTCCTATCATTAAGAAGCTGATGGTAAATTTCTGGGAATAGTACATGTCAGGGGCGTGTTGGACAAGTTGCAGATCCAACAACTGGATCTATTTATATCAGTAATACATAGGCCTGCCTATCCTGTCCCATTAGCACTTAAAACATGGCGAGTCTCAATCGAGATAAAATATACTTACAGATTTTGAAGACAGTTCAAAAAAGTTAAAAAAAAATCTCCCAATTTTGCAATATTAATTACATGTTGAAATGATAATATTTTGGATATGTGAGTTTAAATGAAATATACTAGTAAAATTAAGGTCACTATATACATAGGTATTAATGTGGATATGAAGCAACTTAAAATTACATCATCAGCTTGCCTCATATTTCTTTTCAATAGCACTCATATAAGAATGCAAATACACAGGTAAAGAGGGAAACCTCTACCAGAATTCTGACACAGGAATCAAAGAATTTTTAAGGTGATCGAGACATTCCTGTCAATACAAAACAGGTAAGAGTAACAGGGCAAAACGGCTAAGGTAGAGTATTTAACATCAACTGTATTTCATATGCAATACTGTGATTATCCCACGCGTAGGAGTCTTTTCAACTAATTTTATTAAGAAAACACTTTTTGGTAAGAACACCAAATTTGTATGTATTTGCATAAATTTATCACTCTATCTCCATAAATTTATCATGTATAAGTGTATCACTATATCTCCAATCTAAAACTTTCTCCTGGAAATCCAGACAGTGATCAGCTGCTTGCCTGAGACCTGAAGTGCAATGGAGAGAAAGAACATTGAAGCCAAGTAGCCATGACACTGTTATTATGATGTCAACGCCTGCTTTTCCTGTAAAACAGGAAAAATCACACTTGTCCTGCAGGTTGCTGTGGCCCACATATTAGATGGTGTCCACAAAAGATGCAGAGTGGGACACCATATCAGGACTTGGACCTTTAGCAATTTCTTAGTGCTAAGGTTATACAATTTTAAAATATTCATGCATAGTTTCCAGTTAAAAGACTTGAAGACATGTTTTACTACAACTGGAAGATCAAGAAACAAAATAAACATTACATAAAACTAGTATACATTTTAGACTTTTCAAAATGTTTATGTATTTTATGTCATATGATTTGCATGCAACTTTCTGAAGTAGGGAGTAGAGGTAACACAATCTCATCTTATTTTTATTTAAATATTAGAGGCCCAGTGCACAAATTTGTGCATGGGGTGGGGGGGAGGGGCCACGGGAGGTTGGCTGCCGGCCCCAAGGAGGGAGCCGGCCCTTGGCCCCCCTGAAAAGGGGCCACATCTGCCGCCACCCACCCCTGGTTCCCCATCCCAGCCTGAAACCCAAAGGTCCTGGCTGGGTCGGGAGAGGAGGCAACAGTTGCTGGGCTGGGTGCGGAAGGAATGGATGCTGGACACCGATGCTGCCATTGGTGCCTTGCCACCATGCAGTTCCCCGCCTTCCCTCGCCACCGCGCCACCACTGCGGTGGGCAGGCGGCCCCCGGGGAAGGGAGAGGATGGGAGTGAGGCAGACCCTGTGTCAAGGGCTGACTTTCAATAGATTGCAGGGAGGGAGCTGCTCTGCTACGTATGAAACCCCGACCCAGAAGCAGGTCTCTATGAATAGTTAAGCAGCAGGGACCAATGGGGGCCGGCTGGTTAGGAGGAGGGGCCGTGGGAGGTTGGCTGTGGGAGCGAACTGAGCATCAGGGGGCAGCTCCTGTGTTGAGCATCTGCCCCCTGGTGGTCAGTGCACATCATAGCTACTGGTTGACCGGTTGTTCTGGTTGTTCAGTTGTAACGGTTGCTTAGGCTTTTATATATATAGATAGATATCTTTATTGATTTCAGAGAGGAAGAGAGACGGAGAGAGGGATAGAAACATTAATGATGAGAATCATTGGTCAGATGCCTCCTACACACTCCCTAATGGGGATCGCACCAGCAATTGGGCATGTGCCCTTGACCAGAATTGAACCTGGCACCCTTCAGTCCGCAGGCAGATGCTTTTTCCACTGAGCCAAACAATCTCATTTTATAAATGATAAAATTGTGGCTCACAAGGTTATGTAGTTTAGAAGGCAAGTGTACTAGAATCACAGTTCAGGTCTCTTAATATCTAATGCAGAATCCTGCCTTTTATACTGAGACACTTCTAAGTAATCGTCACAATTATGATCACCACCATTACCACAACAATAAATATCTGGGTGCTTTTCCTGAACTCATGTACCATTTTACACTGCACTCTTTATCTATAACTTACTCCTTTGATGATTTCCGTGACACTGCTCTGTGTTTGTTTTCTTGAAAGCTTTCTAATTGTTCCTTCATACACCATGGGCCTCTCTTGATACACCCATCCCTTACATGCAAATGATGGTAACTCTATACTCAGCTTTCTAATGTTCTGTAATAAGTAAGCAGCATGATCTGGTGTTCTCCCAAGGCTAAAACCACGTCCCATGCAATGAGCTCCATTGCTTCCTTAGGTCCCTTCCAGACATCTACCCCTGGACACACTTCACAGACAAGCAAAATCCAACACATCCAAAACAGAATTCAGTGACCCTACCCCTGTGTCAACCCAAATAGTAACTTCTTCTAGGGTCCCATTCTTAATGGCTCAGGAAGCATCCAAAGCAAGAGACTGAGAAGTACACACCGTGGTCTCTGTAACAATACACTGCTAATTTCCCTTAGAAAACATGCCCTTACTACCCAGATAAAAGTGAGAGAGCAGTCCAGTGAAATTTTGTCCGAAACTTCCTCAATTACAAAGTGTTTTATTCATTTATATTTTTAAAAAGTTTACTCAACGGGTACTTTTAGTGAGCAAAGGAATGAGATAGAGTCTTATAATGGAAGACCAAGACATACAAGAAAAATAACACAGGAGATATTTCCTTGACCAAGAGACATTCAGTGTTAGGAAGGATGTCAATGACCTTGGAGCTGAATCACCTTTCCGTGCCTGAAAGCTCTGCATAAACATACGCATCCTGGCCTACAGTAGTCACTTATAGCATCTTGTGTTTGTATTTACATTTATTTTTAAACAGTCTTCATACATTTAGCTTTTCTGTTCCTTGTGGGAAAAGATAATCCTCTATATTTTCCACAGATTCCTGTATGAAACAGAGAGCTAACAGAAACTTATCAATTGGTTTTCTCAGTACCAAATAGTAACATGAGAAAAAGTCAGTACATTCCTACTCTATCTATAGTGAATAACCAAAGACTATCATCAAGTCCCAAGAAAATACTTCCACTTGAAGTGGACTAGGTCTTACCTTCGGATTAAAAAGATTTGATGGAAGTGGAATGTAAATTATTTTAGCTAGACTATGATTTATAGACTCATACTATTTCTGCTGACATTTTCTTTTTATTTTCTTGAGTCAGTTGATAGTGGATAGCTCAGCTTTCCAGGTCTGAACTTGCCGGAAGCAGATGCATTTTAAACTGTTGGATTCTAATGCAAATTTAATTCCGAAGCATCTGTCCTATGCAGCAATCTAAATTTAGAAACCCACAGGGATCTGCATTTGAGTTACATCTTATATCTTAAAAGTATTTCTTCCCCATTGAGATCATTAAAACTAGACTCCCATGCATTACATTCTATGGAGGTAATTTTTAAAGAACTTTAGCACTTAAAATAAGGCTTCAGTAATATAAAATTATTTATTCTGGAACCTTACAGAAGCTATAAATATATGCCTTACTTGTGATAGAGATGTTCAAACAACTCAATATGAGAGCTAATGATAAAAGATTGTCTAATAGGGTTAGCTATGACAAAGTCTATTTAGCCATTTTAATGAAGTTTTATACTCCCTGTCTCAATGTCTCGGTCATAATCCATGGGGTAGAAAAGAAATTTGAGGACTATTATCTTTCTTTTCAAGTTAGTTAACTCCTCATTACAATAATGACAATGGCGCAAACTGTTTCTAAGAAATCAAATGCTGCTTTGGAAAAGCACAGAATTGATTTTTAAGTAGAGGCAACAGAAAATTCATTTACTCTAGTATACTTCTATAAAAGCAAAGTATGTTACCTCATTACCTTAAATGAATGAGCAGAAAATAAGTGTTGGCTGATTCTAAATCTATTCCTATTGCTATGTCTACATTTTAAACTGTTCAGAAAAAGTGAGGAAACTCAGAAAACTAACACCCCTAAACCTCCAAACGTATTATTTGATAAAAATTCTTCATTTAGCATGAAGGTGGTGAAAACATGTCAATCGAAAGGATATGCTTAGAATTTATTACATTAAAAACCAACAACTATCACATGGATGCCGTTGTAATAACCTGGTAATTACTTCACAGGAAAGGAGGAAAGGGAAGACTAGAGGCAGGCATGCCATTTACACAGCTCTGCCAAAAAGCTGCATCTGACACTCTCCAAGTCTGCTCCCCACTGAGTGATGGGGGAAGGGACCATGCCCAGTAAGGTCTGAGTGATGTGGGAAGGTGCCTGCCTATCTGCCCGGCACAGCCAGAAACAAATTAGTGGTCAGAATGGGCATGGCCACTGCAAGCACACGAAACCTGAATACACTTAAACAATGGAAGTTCTCGCTCTTCTCTCTCACACGCTGGGCCCTGTGACTCCTGCGGCAGGGCTCACGGCCGTGTGGGGGGGCGCCCCACATGGACTAATGGACTTTAATGAGTGTGGGTGCTGAGCCACACCGGCTACAACGTGGAAGGGAAGCTCTGGACATGGCCTTGCTTCTGGCTCTGCTGGAGCCCCAGCTGCACCTTTTCCAGGACTGGCTTAAGGGGCAGGGGCTTTGGAACCCGAGAGACGTAACTTCACGCAAATAAAGCCTTCTTCCACCTCCCATCCGCCCGTGGGGCTTCTGAAAATTCTTTCAGCCATTTCCTAAGAACCTATACCTCGCTCCTATGAGCGACAGGGAAGTTTAATTCTCCTGTAACAATACAATTAATAAAATGCAAGTCACACAGATATTATTGTGTGTAAATATATAGTTGGAATAATGTTAGGTGGCCAGAGAGTAAAATTTGTGGCAACTAGGTGTCAAGTTTGCGGGGACAGAGTGCAAAGGTTATTGCTACTCAATGCTTCTAAAAATGTTAAGGCATTAGCTATTGTTTTACTGAGAGAGAATGTGGTTGCAGCCAACCACCCTAGTTTCAAACTTAGCTGATTTCTAGTTGGGACCCAGCTTAGAAAAAGAAAATCTTCAGCGAGAGAAATATTTAACCTTATTCCATCTTACTGTGAAGAGGAATGTATTTCTGAGATGATGCCAATATTTCTAACAAATTGACAGAGACATCACATTCCATTTACTTTCATTATTTTCCTTTCAGATGCCAAGTTTAAGAAGAAGTGGATGTATGGAACGGAGCAACGATTCTGGAGTTGGTGGTCATTGTGATTGATTTAGGAGACATTTGCCAAGACAGAGACAAAGCAGATTGAACATCTAACCCCCCGAAAATCTATCACCAAGTATATCCCATAAAACGTACTTCTAAATGCCAGGCTGCTGTAATACACAAGTATAGGGGACAAAAATCATTATTTAAGAAACTGATTTAAAAACACACGCACACACACAAACCACAGGCCAGAGCCGATTTAAAAGGGTCATCCTAAATCCACACAGATGCAGACCCACCACAGTGAAAGCGATTGTTTTGCTTTGGCAATCTAAATATAAATCAAGCTCTAATGAAAAACATTTATACATATTTTGTTGGCTAGAAAACTATAAAAAGTATTTTAAAAATGTACTTCATAGGTACTCGTATATTTGACCCAAAATACGTTAACTACTAATGTGAAATGGTCCAATTAATGCATTTGCTGACAGTGTTACACTAAAACCTGATGTTATTCATGCAATGAGACCGTTTCCTGGTAGGAAGAACTATAGATATGATAACAAGCTGCATGTTGGTTTGGCAAACGGAGGTAGGAATAGTGCAAGGACAGGGATGTGCTTCAGCTCCACCCTGTTCGAGGAAGGAGTGGGCATGAGAGTAACACCAAAGTTACTCTAGAGAATGTTTCACCCAAATCCTGACACTGTCACTTACCAGTAAGCCTGCCTCCACTCTGGGGTTCTCCAGCTCTTACGCAAGGTGCTGGTCTAGACCTTACAGAGGCGTGATGCTTTCACAACAGAAAGACACACTCACAACCCCAGGAAGGCACAGGAGTATGGGAGGCATCATTATACTGCCCAGTCTTCCTACCCAGCTTGTGGGCAGAGCCCATGTTCAGTCACACTACCACTCTTCTTGTCTTTAATCAGCATAAAGAGTTTAATTCAAATGTCATTGTTCTCAACCTGCTCTATCTCCTCGCCCCCACCCCAAGACCAACAGAACTTTTTTGGATTATTTTTCACTCCACCTACACAAAACCTCACTTTACACCACAGCCTTTTAAGATCCTATTTTTGTCTATTTGTGTTCACATAGCCAGCCCATTAACATTCAAACAAGAGCTGAGGTATTATTTCCAAGTGTGGGTTTCAAGTATTTCACAGCATGGAAGAATTAGACATTTAAGGAATACTAGAAAATTCTCACCAGAAAACACTATACATTTACCTGAAAAGTTGGCTTATTTTCTAAAAGAAAAGAAACCACAAGAACTTATTACATATGTTTCCTAATGTTGACAGGACTTGGTTCCTAAGCTCCATAATTTTTCTTTATCTCAGTGTTACAATGAAAAATACAGGATTTAAGAACTAGAACAGGTTTCATAGACTATCTAAATCAGAAATTCTCAGCATGGACACCATTGACATTTGGGGCAGATAATCCTTAGTTGTAAAGAGCTGTGCTGTGGATTGTAGGATGCTTAGTGGCATACCTTTTGTCTGCCCACTAAAGACCAGAAGCACCACCCCACCCAGCTGTGACAGTCAGAAATGTCTCCAAACATTGCCAAATGTCCCCTGGGAGACAACACTGCCCCACCCCTGAGAGCCACTGAGTACCCAGAGAACTTTCATAATTCAGGAAGGTTCACCAGCTATCTGAACATCAGAAAAACAGTGAAGTATGGCAAGAAGCCCTTACAACATAAACCGTTCCTTCCAAAAACATTAACTTGGTACCATGAGATGAGCCAACTATTACCATAGTGCTAGGCTCCAGGAAACCTGACTCTGGCACATGGCACTCCTGTGCACATACCTGTTCTTCCTCCTCTTGGACAATACTATGTCAGTGGGATCTGCAGTTAGCTACTCATTTTTACTTTTGACATTTGCAAATGCCACTTGTGCTGTAGTCACTATCCTTCAACCACTTGAACTTTCCGTCATAGTTGCAATGTGAGATAACAGCAGCACCTACCATTATAGTGTCTGATGGTGTCGGTGGTTAAGAACCTCTTCACCACGAGATAAGCAGAGCCAGGTTCAGCTAATGAGCTCCACCGAAGCACCTGCTCCAACACATTTTCTGTGTAGTGAAGAGGGCGCTCTGCAAAGTAAAACCAAAGCAAATTAAAATATCATTTTTTTATAATTACACATTCTTTAAATCCTTTAAAAAATCTGTATTCAACAATAAGCATAATCATATCTTACGTTACATAAAAATAGCATTAAGACTACATAAAAAGAGACTGTTAACACCTAGAACACCAGTACATAATAAAATTTACTGTATCAATGAATCTATGCAGGAACATTTGTGGTTTGCTCAATGATTTTTTAAAATATCACAGATGCTATCCTTTAGATATAATTTCAGAAATAATGCTAACCTTATATATAACAAATCAGTATCTTACACTATCTTCTTTTTTTTATCTTGTTAAATATATGTTTATTGATTTCAGAGAGGAAGGGAGAGGAAGAGAGAAATAGGAACATCAATGACGAGAGGGAATCATTGATCAGCTGCCTCCTACATGCACCCCTTTGGGGATCAAGCCTGCAACCCAGGCATGTGCCCTGACCGGGAATCAAACCATGACCTCCTGGTTCATAGGTTGATGCTCACCACTGAGCAACACTGGCCAGGCTTACAGTACCTTCTTTTGAGTTTAAAATAATATTCTGATTTGCTTATGGAAATCTGTCTATTTTTCACATGCAATTAAATAATTGTGAAAGGACTAGCAAAATTACTCTTGTCCAATAGCAAGTAATAATATAAATTAATCCTAAAGATTAGCAAATTATAATATCTGATCAATAGTGAACAACTTATAGCTGATATTCATATAGTCAATTAATATAAAATCATAAAATGTAACTTCAACAGAGACCATATGAAAACAATCAATATTCTAATAGTTAATCTATGTTTAACTATTGGTGGAAACATCAATCAGAAACATTATGTGACAATATTATACATTAACTGTTGATATAAAGAACCCAAAACCAGAAGTTAATGACCTCTTAAAGATTTCTCCTTGATAAATACTCATCCATATACATTTTGTTTTAGGCAATCATATTTTTTAATGCATGAGAAGTCCTTAGCACCGAGTTAAAAAAATAGATTTTACAATTATAATGAAAGCCTCATAGAAAAGTTTTTTGCTGATCAAAATATGCCAATCATTTAATAAAAAGTTACAACAAAAGCATATATTGGGGGAAAAATTCAATCCTTTCACAGTACACTAAAAATAGTATAATTGAAACAGCAAGAACATAAGCTCTAACAGGAAGATGCTGAGGTAGCTTCCCCAATAAAATCACCAAATGTAAGTCAATTCAACTCTTTCACACCCTTCTAACTGTAAAGCACACAGCATCTGAGATTTTCATTTTGGTTAAAGTAGGAATGGCAATGACAAACAAGAAAGAATCTGTCCATATCATAATCACATATGAACCATGATATTTTAATTGGTGATAAAATCACAAGTAATGACAACCAAATAGATAATATTCCTCTTAACATATTCCATAGCATACAAATTGCTGAAAATTCAGTGTAGTTACTAGTGTGCCCTGCTATGACCACAGGCATTCCAGAACTTATCAACAACCTCAGGTCCACAGAAGAAGAAAACAAATTTTCTGCCTCCAATGTAAATACCAGATTTTTGCTTACTATTCAGTACAATGTAATGCAGTTCTGCATTCTGTGTTTATTGGAGCAAGCCAATGATGATGGCAATTCAAATAAGGAAGGAAGAAATGATGGATGGATGGAAGGAAGGAAGGAAGGAAGGAAGGAAGGAAGGAAGGAAGGAAGGAAAGAAGGGAGGGAGGGAGGGAGAGAGGGAGGGGAAAGAAAGAAGAGCAACTAGGCCACATATCTTGAAGATTTATCTCCCTCTTGTTTACAAATATATCCCTGTACACAGTCGAGTGCTGAGTATGTATATAATAGATGTTCAATAAATATTTGAGTAATGAAGTACCTTATGAGTTTCTATGGTGGACTATAATTAATGGAAAATATCTGTAAGTGGATCAATGGGCAGAATATAATTCTTTGTAAAACTAAAGAAAATATTTTATGCTATAGCAATCTTGCTTTTCTTCAAATAATTTTGCAATAGGTTTGGCAAAGATCATAATTGCCCATAATTTGCCAAAGCTATAATTAATTGGTAGTCTTCTATTAATAGAGGTTATAATTCAATTGAACTGTATTTAAAAATAAAACTAATTATAATTTGAAGTCATAGCCACAGCAATCAGGTAAGAAAAAGAAATAAAAATGTATCCAAATTGGAAAGTAAGAAGTAAAACTGTCACTATTGCCAGATGACATAAAACTTTATATAGAAAAACCTAGACTCCACCAAAAAAGTATTTGAATGAATGCCTACAAATAATTTTATGCATAGTTACATTCACAATCATCTGTCATGATAGATCATATGGTGTGTAAATGATCTGGCATTAAGTTATTATTAGAAATAACTCATTTATGTATTATCCATAGCATAAAAATTGCTGAAAATTCAGTGTAGTTACTCAAGAAGAACAGGTTATAGAGGAAGTTAGCTAGGTAAATCACATTATTAATAGTTTCAAACCTTGTTTACAGAAAAATACCTGGCCTCCCTTGTTAAAACGAGAACTATCCATTTTTCACTTGAAATTATAGGTATTGTGGTTAAATTTCTGGTGATAATGACACAGGATTTCCCTAGACAACTATGACTTCCCCAATAATTAAAGTCTTAGTGCCAAACTTCGAGTGGTGCAAGTCTGTCCCTGTCCTGTCCATATAATTAGAGGGCGACTGCACGTTGTGTCAATCAAGAGAAGGGCTGGAAAGGACCCCAGTGAACAATGAACAGATCTTCTGTATCAGAGCAGCTCTGAGGAAGAATTAGTAAAACATTTCACTGTGATCCTGCTGCACAGAAGTGTCTCACCAGCTTGATCTGCTCGGTGAAAAAGCCCACTTCAATGAGGCCCTTCTCAATGTAAGTTACTGTTTTTCAGCAAGTCAAGGACCTACAGAATATGGGGCTCTACCAGCAGAGGACAGGCTCAGTTTTAGGGTGAAGCATTAAAATAAAAGCACCCTTTAGAAGAGAAGCTCTTGATGAAGGTAACAGCCTCTCGCAGGGCGGGTTTCAGCTTGTCTAACGATTGGCAGCAGTGGGTCAAGGATGCTTGGCATCTTTCAGAAGATGGGACGAAGGAAGACTTTTTCTCTATCCAATACAAAATTTTTTAACAGTTCTTTTAAAAAATTATTTTTTGTTCTTTCAACCATTTGTTAACTGTCGTAAGACACAGAGAACATAAAATTTGCCCTTTTCACATGTACCATTTTACGTACACATTTTACATGTACAACTCAGTGGCATTAAAGATGTTGTAATTTCAAGTGTCCCACCAGGCAGTTAGAGTGAAAACCTACTTATAAATTAACTGAGCCTAGACTCAAACTCCGCTTTATGCCTATAAATTCTCAAAATATGTTCTATGGTTTTAACCTGATGTATTTTTTCCATGAATCTAACTACCATATGGGAAGAAAACGATCATGCTTTGTCAGCACTCTCTAGGAATTGTTCACCATTTGTGAGAGTCTGCATGTCTGTCCCCTGCGCCCCCCCCCGGCAAAAAAAATTGTTATGTTGACACCGAATCCCCAGTGTGATGGTATTAGGAGGCAGCACCTTTGGGAGGCAGAGTCCTCACGAATGGGACAGGTGCCCTTATGAAAGACTCACAAAGCTTCCTCCCACCACGTGAGAAAAGAGAAAAGTCAGCCCTCTGCGACCTGGGAAGCTGATCTCTCTCTCCAGACACCAAATCTGCCAGCACCTTGATCTTGGACTTCTCAGCCTCCAGAGCGGTGAGAAATAACTGTCTGTTGTTTATAAGCCACCCAGACTGTGTAATTCTGTTATAACAGCCCAAATGGACTAAGACACCATTTCACCAACAATAGCAATGCTTCCAGTGATGTGTGAGCCACAAACTGACATGCTTACATCAGTCTGCATTGGAGCTGGCACATCCCTGAGAAGTTCACACAGGTGTGGGATCCATTTTCATTTACCTCTGACCATACAGGAGTGTGTCGGCAGTTATATGTTCTACTACACATTCTCCTTTCTCATTTTCTATTACCATTAGGGTGCTATATTATTTTAAAAAATAAGTATAATAGATTATCTCAAGAGAGTAAAGGGAATCTTACAGAATAATTATTATACAAAGCAGGCACTGGATATGACAGGGCAGAGACTGTTGCTTTAACATTTGCAGACACCTACAGTAAAACCCAGCACTTCTGGTTCACTTATTTATCCGTGTATTCATGTATCTTCAGTTACCTGCGTACTTGGAGGATTTATATTTACATTAGAAAAGGCACCGATTCCCTGCTGACACTCCTCCTATCAGCTGCAATCTTGTGACTGCCAGCACCTTCACCTTCATCTTCTTTTCATATGTCGCTTTATCCTCCCTGCATGTTTCCAGCAATAAAGCTTTTAACATTTCGGAAGGTCAGGTGGAGCCACGGCTCCGTCTGCTTCAGGAAGCCAACATCATCACAGGCCCCTCTGTGGCGCTTCTCACTTTGTTCCTCTAAAAGCTGGGAAAACCATCTTCGTTTTCTCGGCTGGCGTTTCTACTTGAACAGCTGACCCAACATTAAAACCATGCCAAATCTGAATTCTTCACTCCATCAAATGTATTCTTCCTGGAGGTATATGGGGTGTTCCTTTGATTATATATTGGGACATGCACATATCAAAACAACTTGAGGACTCCTACTCTTTTTATAGCTCCAACAAGATAACTTTTTTTTTAAAATTAGACAAGTAGCCAAAAGAGCAACCAAAATAACAACAACAACCCCACCCCAACCCAACTGTACCATCTGTGATGTACTCATTGTCACATGCAAGTCAATACCCAGTCATTTTCAGGGTAAGCAATCCCTTCATTTTCCAAGATGAAATTTAAAGACAATATTTCTAAGTTTATTACAGTCTCCTTCCTACCCTCATGCATTCTGCGTGCTCCTCTTAGTCGGGAGGACTGATGCCCAAAGACACAGGGCCCCCATGCTGTGACAGAGGGGCATGCTTTGACTCAACCCTTGAGAGGACAGGGTAGTAGGGAGACGATGCCTACCCCCAAATCTGTGATTCCTTATCGTGCGGTGGATCTCCAAGAAACACAACGGATACAGAGGCAAGCAGGGGACAATCTGCTCTCTCAGGCCTCACCAGGGCCCTGAGATATCCTAGGAGTTGCTCATCTACAAGCAGAAATCATTTTTTACGTGCCTGCCGCATTTTGATACATTTGTCCAAGAAGCAACAATCCAGGTCACTCAGGTTCAGAATACATCTATTTTAGGTGCCATCTCAGTTAACAAGATATTTGCAGGATGTGTTCCACATCAATGCACTATGCTAGAGGCAGTGAGAGATATAAGGGTCCTAAAGAACATGTGGTCTAGGGCAGAGCCAGATGTATACATACTACTATTCAATAATCAGACAGTACACAGTATTATAGATCTACTAGAGATCTGGGAGCCCTCGGGGGATGTCCGACTGACGGCTTAGGCCCGCTCCTCGCAGGCCTAAGCCGTCAGTCGGACATCCTTAGCACTGCCATAGAGGCGGTAGAGACTCCTGCCACCGCTGTTGCGCCTGCCAGCCGTGAGCCCGGCTTCTGGCTGAGAGGCACTCCCTCGTGGGATCGGGCCAAAATTGGCTCTCTGACATCCCCTGAGGGGGTCCCGGATTGTGAGAGTGTGCAGGCCAGGCTGAGGGACCCCACTGGTGCACGATCAGGGCCGGGGAGAGACGCAGAAGGTTGGCCAGCCAGGGAGGGACTTGGGGAGGGCTCCAGGGAGTGTCCAGTCCGTCTCGCTCAGTCCCGATCGGCTGGACCACAGCAGCAAGCTAACCTACCAGTTGGAGTGTCTGTCCCCTGGTGGTTAGTGCATGTCATAGCGAGCGGTTGAGCAGCCTTAGCAAATCATTAGCATATTACACTTTGATTGGTTGAATGGCCAACCTGACACTTAGCATATTAGGCTTTTATTATATAGGACAAGCATATAATCAGAAAAAGACCAGTGAGAACTATGTCTATCTAAGTATCATCATGGAGAACAGGCATTTGAGCTGGATCTTGCAGAAAGGATAGGCAATGAGTAAATAATGAGAGGAACAATTTTAAATGATGGAGCAATATGTTCCTATTTGTGATTTAGAAAGGTAATTCTGGCAGTAATGCCAACAGTTGCCTTTTATTCACAAATATGATGAAGTTGATAACCTAGCTCCTCGCCTTAAAATTAAACATCAAAAATCAAAGACTCTACCACCATTAAACCATACAGTGATGCAAAATTGTGCTTTGCTTGTGCAAGAGATTTTAATTGTATGGAAACTACATTTTAGGCACTGTGCCCAATGCTAGAGATAGAAAAAGAGAGTTCCTCCTTCCTTCTGATGAGCTCCCATTGAGAGAGATGAGTCCGAGCTCCCATTGAAAAAGATGAGTCCGTGTGATGGGCTCTATAAAGAAAGATAGAACAAAGTGCACTAACACCCTTAGTCTGCATATTAAAGGAGGTCAGATGGAGAAAGAGTAAAGAACATTCAGGGAACACCCACTCACAGGTGTTAGTCAAACACAAAGAATGGAAGAACCTTATCTATAAAGAACATGTCAAATGAGAAAAGATGGCAAAGGAGATTGGAGCAGCAGACACCCACCATTTAGGAGACAAAGGAAGAAGAACTGACGATAATCAGAAGGCCAGAAAAAGGGAATGGTCATTAACAATAAATGCCACAAGAAGGAAAAGTGCTGTGAAGCCTGAAGCAAAGCCATCAGACTTGGCATTGGGGGTGGGTGGTCACGGGAGTCATTTGCCAGAACACTTTCTGTGAGAGGGAAAGGCTGAGCCTGCCTGGGGAGGAGACGCATGTGGACCGACACCAAAACATCAGAGTCACTGACTCTTGACAGTGAATATTGCAAATTAACATATTAATACAAATGAGATGTTTTTGTTACTGTTAATCCTCATCAGAGATATTTTTTCCCATGGTTTTTGGAGAGAGTAGAAGGGAGAAAGGGAGGAGGAAGAGAGAGGGAGAGGGAGAGGGAAGAGGGACAGGGAGAGTGAGAGGAAAGTATAAGGAAAGCAGGGAGGTATATTTATAGGTACATAGATGAATGAGGAAGAAAAAGAGAAGAACAAAACATAGGATGTAAGACAGCCCATCGATCCGGGCC